TCTGTGAAGACAAAGAGCTCCGACATGATGCAAACGCTGACTGCTGGAGGCTGCAGATTTGTCAAAGTCCTCCTCAAACCAGCAGTTAATGTGCGGCTGCCGTTCTTGCACATCCATCCGTCCATCCGTCACTCCAACCATCCATCCGTACATCCATGCTTCTCAAGCCGTGATTGATTTTGTTATGATTCACACAAAGAACCACAGTGCATCTCATTTCCTATTGATCAGCTGCTCTGTTCAGTCAACTGCTGTTCAAATGCTTGGCCACACGATGAACTCACATCAACTCAGGCTCTTCTTCTTCTTCTTCTTCTTCTTCTTCTTCTTCCTACACTGACACCAGTCATCATAGTAGTACTGCTACTACTACGACTTCTTCTTCTACTAATCATACCAGCACTAATACTACTAATACAACTACTATTACTTCTATTACATCAGCAACTTCTACTACTGTTACGTAAACGTTTACTAGCACTGTTACTACTACTTCTACAACTTCTACATCCACTCCTACTACTAATACTACACTGGCAACTGCAACTACTTCTAGTACTACTACTTCTCTGATTGCTACAACTACGCCTAAGAACTATGACTCCTACTACTACTTCAACTGCTACTACTATGGCTCCTACAACTATTACTACTGCTACGACCAGTAATACTAATATTACGACTACTACAACTACTACCATTATGACTACTACTACTACAACCGGCAGCTAGTTATACTATAAAGCCTCTATAAAAACTGTAGTATTTTTGATGCCAGACTTGAGTCGTGTTTATGCGATAACAAATATTACGCACATTCACGTGTTTCAGTAACCATCCGGTGGTAAGAATGTGAACTTTTCTCAGTTCTGTCAGACAGAAGTATTTTAGGCACACACACACACACACACACACACACACACTCACAGTGTCTTACCAGACGTGACTCTTAACCAGGCTGTCTGTCACTGATGTGTTTGTATCAAGGTGTTAGAAGATGGTAGAGTGTTAGGAGAGAGGAAGACGGCGGGTGAGGAGGGGGGAGGTGTATAAATAGAGGAGACTCATTACGACCACTTTTTAAACTAATGCACAGCAGACAAAAGTGCGTCATCGTTCACCCACGTCTCCGCCCCGATCATCCCTTCATCAGTCGTCATCCCTTCACATTCGATCCGTCGCTCGGAGGCGTGAACACGTTTTTCCATTAAAACATTTAATATCTGTACAATAAGATCCGCCCAGCAGCTACAGCGGAGAACGTGTGAATGTTCTTTGTCGTGTTTCTGTTGATTTTTTTCCGCACAGTTCTTTCTCACACAGACAGAACAGGAAATGAAAAAAAAGTTGTGACTTGGTGCCGTCTGTGACTTGGATTAAAACACCAACTAACTGCAAACTGATCAGGAACACTTCCGTTGATGAGTAATGAGGACTATTTGGAATTTCATGATAATGATGTAATGATATAATTGACTTCACAGGTTTTGTCCTTTTCTGCCACAGATCTCTTTTGGAACATAGATAGTGTTTTTTTTGCCCTGATAAGTTTGTAAAAAAATGTGGAAGCATTTCTGTCCCCAAGGGGGCATGACAGAAAATAAGTGAGAACCTCTGGATTAGTCCGACCAACTGAGCGATAGATTGAAAAACGTGTGTTTTTTGTCAATTATTATAGTATGATGAAAACAATTATCTGAATATTCCTCAACAGTTCTTGTGCTGATGTCACCAGTTGACATACTCATATATTTTCGGACGTGGCGATGATATTCAACAGATGCACTTGATGCAAAACTGATGTCAGAGTTGACAGACTCCAGTGTGAAATTAATTTCAATGCAAAATAATCTGATCAAAACCCTTTTAATATAAGGCAAATAAACAACTAGTCTTTATGTTTGTTTGTAATTAATTTTGGCGTGAAAGGCTACAGAGCGCTCCCGTGTTAGCCAATCAAACATGATTCATCACCGATGCCTCGGGCAGAGAGGAACTCCTCGGTAACCTGTGCAGCTCATTTCATCCATTTTCTCTGTCGCTAAGAGAGAAAAGTGAGAGATGTGGTGATCTGGGGAGTGGGCGCCCTGTTGAAACATCACCTCCGTGACTGAAGTCAGAGATTGTTAGAGGTCCAGTCCTGACCTGCTGGACTACAGTGTGGAGAGTGTCTCTGTTTCGCCACAGGCTGATTCACAGCCAGAGAACAATTCAGTTGAACTTAGCTCGGCTGCAGAGCTCCACAAACTGACAGCAGCTCTAAACACATCTGACTGCCGTGACACCAGCAGTCACTTTACCTGTAATCACACTGATTGCTCCTGTCAGCACAGAGAGGAGCCGTGGAAATAACCCTGCTGATTCTAATACTGATTTTCTTCGTCTTCATAATCTTCGTCTTCTACACCGCTGTGAAAACCATTTTTCAGAGGGTAATGTGTTACTATCAACAGATAACTAACATTTGAGGCGTAAGTCGAGTTCTGGAAATTAGGTTGCTTACCACAAACTTCCATCCATCCATTTTCATCCGCTTATCCGTTAGCAGGTCGTGGGGGCAGCAGTCTCCATGACCACCACCCAAATCACACTGCACCGTACCAACCCCCCAAACCTTCCTGTAGGTGGTGAGTCCACTGGAAGGTACCAACCGCCCTAACCGGGATTTGATCTTGCCCAGGAGGTGAACCCTGGGGTTCCACACCAATGACAGAGAC